GATTCTGACTCAAAGAGATCCTAAAGGGCAGAGCAGAACTGCTCCATAGACTTTCCAAGGTAGTAAATCTTATTCTTTTATTGTTGTAGTTTAAATGAAGTTTACATTTCAAGTTACTCTCCCATTCAAAAATTTATACATACATTGTTATGTGACCCTAATTGCTCTCCTGATACTACTGACAGCACACTCCTCCTTTCTGCCCAATTCCCGATGTCCATTCAATCAGCTTCTAACCCTCTCTGCCTTCCAATTTCACTTGCAGACAGAACCTGCCCATTTAGTCTCTTGTATCTACTTGAGCTAAGAGGCACACTCACAAGTATCAATTTAGGTCCCACAGTCCAGTCCAATCCCTGTCTGAAGAGTTGGCCTCGGAAATTGGTTTAGTTCTGGGCTGACAGAGAATCCAGGGGACATGATTTCCCGGGTGCCTCCAGTTTCAGACCACTAAGTCTGCTCTTCTTATTAGAATTTGAGTTCTGCACCCCAATTTCTCCTGCTCCATCCAGGACTCTCTGTTGTGTTCCCTGTCAGGGCAGTCACTGGTGGTAGCCGGGCACTATCTAGTTCTTCTGGTCTCAGGCTGATGAAGTCTCTGGTTTATGTGGCCCTTTTTGTCTCTTGAGCTAATACTTTGTGTTTTTGGTGTTCATGCTCCTTTACTCCAGGTGCTTGGGACCAATTGATGCATCTTAGATGGCCACTTGCAAGCTTTTAAGACCCCAGATGCCACTCACCAAAGTAGGATGCAGAACATTTTCTTAAACTTTGTTATGCCAATTGACCTAGATGTCCCCTGAAAGGCATGGGCCCCAGACCCCTACCCCTGCTACTCTGTCCCTGAAAACGTTTGATTGTATTCAGGAAATTTCTTACCTTTGGTTTAGTCCATTTGTGCTGACTTCCCCTGTAGTATGTGCTGTCCTTCCCTTCACCTAATTTTTGTCTACTATCTGCTTAGTAAATAGCCCTCACCCTCCCTCCCCACTCTTGTAACCATCAAAGAATGTTTTCTTCTGTGTTTAAACCTTTTCTTGAGTTCTTATAATAGTGGTCTTATACGATACTCATCCTGCGACTAAATTCACTCAGCATAATGACCTCCAGATTCTTCCATCTTATGTTTCACAGCTTCCTGGTTCTTTATCATTGCGTAGTATTCCATTGTGTGGATCTAACATAATCTGTATCCCTTCATCCGTTGATGGGCACCTAGGTTGTTTCCACCTTTTTGCTATTATGAACAGTGCTGCAATGAACAGGGGTGTGCATATATCTATTCGTGTGATGACATTTCTTTAGGATATATTCCAAGGAGCAGAATAGCTGGATCATATGGTACTTCTATTTCTAGCTTTTTAAGGAAGCACCAAATCGATTTCCAAAGTGGTTGAACCATTTTACATTCCCACCAACACTGTATGTGTTCCACTCTTTCCACAACCTCTCCAACATTTATTATTTTGTGGTTTTTGGATTAATGCTAGACTTGTTGCAGTGATATATCTCATTGTAGTTTTGATCTGCATTTCACTAATGGCTAAGGATTGTGGGCACTTTTTCATGTGTCTGTTGACCGCCTGAATATCTTCTTTGGAGAAGTACCTGTTCATATCCTTTGCCCATTTTTAAATTGGGTTGTTTTTGTTGTTGAGGTTTTGCAGTATCTTGTAGATTTCAGACATTAGATGCTGATCGGATTTGTCATAGTCAAACATTTTTCCTACTCTGTAGGTTGTCTTTTGACTCTTTTGGTGAAGTCTTTCAATGAGCGTGTTTGATTTTTCAGAGCTCCCATTTATCTAGTCTCTCTTCTGCTGCTTTTGCATTGTTACTTATGGTTCGTATTGTGTTTATGCCATGTATTAGGGCTCCTAGCACTGTCTCCATTTTTTATTCCATGATCTTTATCATTTTCAATTTTGTATTTGTCTTTAATCAAATTTTGAGTTAGTTTTTGTGCATGATGAGAGGTATGGGTATTTTTTGTTTTTCGCAGATGGATATGCAGTTATTCAAGGCTGTGACATCTTTCTCCCACACAGCAGCTGGGGAGTTCCTACCATTGACCTTTCGGTTAGCAGCTGAGTGCTTTAACCACCGTGCCACCAGGGTTCCTTCAGAGACTAGGCCCCATAAAATACTTGTCCACAAACAAAAGGGCTTTAAAGGGTAATTGTATCACTCATATTAAACATTTGAACCATATCTTTAAAACTGAAAGTTTTCCATCTACATGCAAAAGGAAAAACTAGAGTTTAAGGGGTTTGGTTCTTTTGTTCACCACTTGATGAGCACTGCCTAATAAGGTACTATTAGGTGAACTATCAGGATATTTACACATGGTTATTAGCCAAGGAAGAAGGCCCAGTGGTGTAGTGGTTAAGCACTCTGCTGCTCACTGAAAGGTCAGTGGTTAGAACCCACCTAAAGCTACAGGAGAAAAGACCTGGAGATCCGATCCTGTAAAGATTACAGCCTAGGAAACCCTATGGTGCAGTTCTACTATGTCCTATTATGGTCACAGAGCTGGAATGGACTCAGTAGCACACAGCACTGATCAAGGACATTGAGACAGAAGTGCCCACCAGCCCTCATGAGCTCTACTGCACACATGCACAGTTTTTGCCAATATCTCTGCCTTCGCCTCCTCTATACTATGAACTGAGAGACTGATGTCCAGTATATATTAAGTGGGAAAAAGTACATTTATGTGAAGAAAACATTGTAAATAACCAAAATATGTTCACGTATGTATGTATTCTGGGAGAGGGATCTTTCTTAGAAACACTGAAAAGTTACACAGGAAAACGAAATGGTTAGGAACTGGCAATGATATTAACAGAACACAGGTAATATAGGAGGAAGTCAGCCTACCGTTTTCATAGTCTTCAGTTTTGAATCATGTGGAAGTTTTATATGTTAAAGGAATAATTCAAACTGAAAGCAAACCTTAAAATTAAATGTAAACAGAAGTAAAATAACATTAAACTGCCACTGCTCATTTGCGAGTTTGACATACTGTGGTGGCTGGCATGTTGCTGATGCAGGAATCTATACCACCGGTATTTCAAATACCAGCAGGGTCACCCATGGTGGACAGGCATCAGTGGAGCTTACCAACTTCAAGAGCCTAGGAAGAAAGACCTGGCAATCTACTTTAGAAAATCAGTAAATGAAAACTATAGATCACAACAGAACACTGATATAGTGCTGAAAGATGAGCTCCATGGGGTGGAAGGCACTACTCAAACATTACCAGTGACCATGAAGATGGTGCAGAACTGGGCAACATTTTCTTCTGTTATGTAGGTGATCAAGGAGCCCTGAAAGCACAATAGTTTAGCACTTGGCTACTAACCAAATGGTTGACAGTTCAAACCCACCCAGCAGCTCCATGGGAGAAAGCGTGCCAAACCGCTTCTGAAAAAATTACAGCCAAGAAAACCCTATGGGGCAATTCCACTAGTAACATGGAGTTGCTAAGAATTGGAATCGACTCCACAGCACACAACATAAATAAGGTCACCATGAGCTGGAGTCACCTCGATGGCAGCAAATAATAAAAAAATGATCAAATAACCATGTACAAGAGTTTGTGCTGAAGCCAATGTTTAAGCACAGTAATCTTGTGTTAATATCCTCAATGTAAATGTAAAACCAGTAAGTACAAAATCGAAGGTGAAAAACTCAGCACTTCACAAAATAAGTTGTTTAGTCAGTTCTATTAGTATTATAACATTGAAACTTTTTGAATATTATTAGGAACCAAAGTTTTTATTAAGAGGGAAAAGAGATTCAAATATAACAGAAAGTGACAAGATTTACCCATTTACATTTATTCCATGAATGTTCCTTTTTTCAGCCTAATAAATCAGCCGTGAGCAAACATTTCTGAAAACCAATAGATCTCTTGCTTAAAACCCATCTTCCTGCTGTATTTTTGCTTTCCACCTTCAAATTAGTAAGTTTCCAGTGTCCCATGACACTCAGAACTCATTAAAAAACCTCTTGCCTCACTTTACCCTTTAGGGTTGAACTCAGACTTATCCTGAGGTCTCTTTCCTATCGCAACAGGCTAAATAAAGTCTAGTTTACCTACTTAACATTGTCCGGCACCATTTCTTAAACTTGAATATATATATATATAGACACACATATATACTTACACATGTATACACATATATAACCTTAAATTTAGAATAAACTTTAATTTTTATTAATTTAAATATAATAAACGATTCAATTATTGGAAAAGTACACTTGGAGTAACTTGGGATTGTGAACCTACTTTTCAACAATAAAATTTATCAAACCTGCTGCTTCTAGATTCTGGAAGATGGAGTAAAAAAGGGAAATGTAAAACGTCTCATAAAGAAATTTATATTGATTATTTTGTTTATAATTTTACCTTGACAATAAATGGACATATTGGAGTAAGATTTTTATTAAAACTCTCGCATTTACATTTCTAATGTCTAATATGGCTATTAAAATACTTTAAATTACGTCTTTGACATGCATTACATTTCTATTAGAAGACTCAACGTCTATGTTACAAAAAATACAGAAGACAAACTAATAAAATCTTAATAAAAAAACAAATACAGTAAAACCTGAGAGCTGGAATGCGATGCAAGTGCCATTTTACCAGGTCTTGCATATTTCCACTTTTGATTGGGTGCTTACCACTTTTTTTTGCTCTCTATTAAGAATCCTACATAATAAAGAACACGTGCTTCTTTGACAAGTTTTTGACTTCCACAGGTTTCAGCTGTCACAGATTTGACTGTATCAGGATGCTGAACGTTTTAACATTTTACAAGACAAGCATGAGAATATTCTGTGTAATACATGAAAAAGACCTAGAAATAAAAAGCCAACATGGAAATATGGTTTGGATCCTAACTTCAAAAAACCCGACAACCATAATACATATTTTATGGACAACTGGAGAAATTTTCATTTGTTGTGAGAGACAATGAGGATCTGGGTTGTTCTGGTAGGAAACTGACCTTATTTGTAGGAGCATAAAGGGTGAAGTGAATGTCTGCAATTAAGTATCGGTTGTTTCATCATAATAATTCATATACATGGAAAAACTGCTTACATTTATAAAGCCTAAGCCATGAATTTTTATGATTACTGAGGTTTCAGGAATCACAACGGAATTTCCCACATTCTATATATAAAAAATGTTTCTCTCCAGGGTGATATTTTACGTATTCATCGAGGGATAAGAAGCAACTAAATGCTTTTCCACATTCCTTACATTCATAAAGTCTCTCCCACTGTGCGGTTACTTATGTTCAGCAAGCACTGAAGACTAAAGGCTTTCCCACATACTTACTGAAGGCCTCTCTCCACTGTGAACTCGTGTCTAGTGATGGTTGATGACTGACGAAAGGCTTTCTGTATTACTTACATTCAGAAGACCTCTCACCACTGTGAGTTCTTACATGTGTAGTGAGTAGTGATGACCGACTAAAGGCTTTGCTACATTCCTTACATTCATAAGGCCGCTCACCACTGTGAGTTCTCGTATGAGCAGTGAGGTGTGAGGACTGACGAAAGGTTTTGCCACATTCCGTACACTTATAAGGTCTCTCTCCACTGTGAGTTTTAATATGTGCAGTGAGGTGTGATGACTCACGAAAGGCTTTGCCACATTCCTTACATTCATAAGGCCTCTCACCACTGTGAGTTCTTATATGTGAAGTGAGGTATGAGGACCGACGAAAGGCTTTGCCACAGTCCTGACATTCGAAAGGTCTCTCTCCACTGTGAGTGCTCATATGTCTGGTGAGGTTTGAGGACAAACTAAAGGCTTTGCTACATTCCTTACACTCATAAGGTCTCTCTCCACAGTGAGTTTTCAAATGTACAGTGAGGTTTGAGGAGCGACTAAAGGCTTTGCCACATTCCTTGCATTCATAAGGCCTCTCACCACTGTGAGTTCTTATATGTACAGTGTGGCTTGAATAGTAACAGAAGGTTTTGCCACATTCCATACATTTATAAGGTCTCTCTCCACAGTGAGTTCTCATATGTTCAGTGAGGTTTAAAGAGCGACTATAGGCTTTGCCACATTCCTTACATTCATAAGGCCTCTCACCACTGTGAGTTCTTATATGTAAAGTAAGGTGTGAGGACTGACTAAAGGCTTTGCCACATTCCTTACATTCATAAGGTCTCTCTGCATTGTGAGTTTTCATATGTCTGGTGAGGTATGAGGACCGATGGAAGGCTTTGCCACATTCCTTACATTCATAAGACCTCTCACCGTGAGTTCTTATATGTGAAGCGAGGTGTGAGGACCGATGAAAGGTTTTGCCACATTGCTTACATTCATTAGGTCTCTCTGAATTGTGAGTTCTCGTATGTCTGGTGAGGTGTGAGGACCAGTGAAAGGCTTTGCCACATTCCTTACATTCATAAGGTCTCTCTCCACTGTGAGTTCTCATATGTCTGGTGAGGTTTGAGGACAAACTAAAGGCTTTGCTACATTCCTTACATTCATAAGGTCTCTCACCACTGTGAGTTCTCATATGTATAGTGAGGTATGAGGAGTAACTATAGGCTTTGCCACATTCCTTACATACATAAATCCTCTCTCCACCACGAATTCTCTTATGTATAGTGAGGTCTGAAGAATGGCAAAAATCTTTGCCACATTGCTTACATTCATAGGATTTCTCTCCAGTAAGAGTTCCCACAGCAGTGCTCAGGTAAGAGGGACTACAGGCTTCTCCACATTGCTTACACTGATAGGCACTGCATCCAGTGTGAGACTTCGTATGATGCTTAAGTGTTGAATGGTTCATCAAGGATTTTCCAGACTCAAGGCATTCAGAAGGATATGCTTCCATAGGAGTCCTTTTCAGCAAAGAAAGATTTGGAATCTGGCTGAAAATCTGATTGTCTTCATTATTTTCACAGAGGTTCTCTAACAAATGCCTTCCGTTAAAAATAGGCAGCATGCTGTTGGATACAAATTTGTTACCATTTCACCATTACCATACATATTGAACATGTATTTTTTTGCTCTGAACTGTCTCATGTTTCATAGATTAAATCATCTAGCTAGCAGAAATGCTACCTTTACATTGTTTATAAAATATGGTGCTCTAACAATTGTATTTAAGCAGAATGTTTCAAATATTAAATATCTCACTTGCATTTATGAAAACATTGTCCTGTTGAAATTCTGTGAACACACATTAGAACAGGTTTTATATACACATAACTGGATGGCACAAGTTGCTACTGTCATACATGTGTCGCTGTGTGTATATGTATAATCGTTCTTCTTGTTAAGTACTGTTGACTCCAGCTTAGTGACCCCGTGTGACCAAAAGGCTGGTGCTTCAAACCCACCCAGAGGCATTGCCAATAGTCGGAATAGACAAAACGCCAACAGGTTTGAGATGCGCGCACACACACACAGACATCCCTACTCCTTACTTATCAACTATCTCATTATATGACATTTTGCATTTGTGACCATAGAAAAAATCTACTATCCGATTATTCTGTACATTAATGAGAAGGGTATCACAGTGGCCTCAGAGAACATGGGAAGCACTACCCCCCACCCTCCGGTCCCTCCTGCTGACAGGGTCACATCTAGCTCCTGGACAGGACCGGGCTCCTCTGTGGCTACAGCCTCTAGGTAGATGCACAGGCAGTGCTCATCCAGCAGGCACCTCTTCTGGGTTCCTATCTCGTATACAACCTGAGGCCCTGCAACTCAAAATTGCTGTGGGGTGGAAAGGTAGGAAATAAAGTGCAGTGGAGAGGGTGTTTGGAGGAACAGCTTGCGAATTTAATGACACCCCAAAGTGAGGTGAACTGCGCCTGAAGACTCCACCTCAGTGGGGCTGGTTGCATAGCCAGGCTCACAGCGCCCTTGCAAAAGCCCCGAGCCTTGGTTACTTGTCAGGCCTGGAGAGAATAGGCTCTGGGATCTGGAATGCAGGGCTTGTAGGGGTGGGACCAGAGCCCCGGAGGCAGTAGTACAAAGGGATCTCTGACCCAGCACAAGAGGAAAGTGAAGTGGTTAAGCTGTGGGCCCTCAAGTCACACAGCCAGGCTTTATCCATCTTTGTCTCCTCCAAGCGTTCTTTCTCATAGAGGAATAACTCATAAATAACTCATCACAGTAATGAGTACATTAGTAAATCGTAGCTGGTATTATCTCTATGATCATATTTTCTAAATAAAAAAAAACTGGACAAATGGATGGTCTGAAAACAGAAAGAAAAAATCGTTCATTTTCACATACAATTTTCGCAAAACTATGATCTTTTGAACCTAATGATGTCAAAACGTAAGGTGCGTGTGTGTACACATGCATGCATGCATACAAACATGCAAACGTACATATATATATATATATGCAAAAAGACCCAGGAACTCTGCTGGTGCAGTGGTTAAGCACTTAGCTACTAACCGAAAGGTCGGCAGTTTGAATCCACCAGCGGCTACACGGAAGAAAGATGCGGTAATCACCTTCCTTAAAGATTACAGCCTTGGAAACCCTATGCAGCAGTTGTACACTATCCTATAGAGTCAGTATGAGTCAGAACAGACTCAACAATGGATTTCTATTTATATAGTGTGTGTACATGCATATGTATGTGTGGGTGTGTATACCTGTTGTTGTTAAGTGCTGCTGAGTTAATTCCAGTTCACAGTGACCCCATATGACAGAGTTTTCTTGGCTGTAATTATTATGGAAGCAGACTGCCAGGTGTTTCTCCCAGAGCCCGTGGATAGGTTTCAATCGCCAATCTATTGGTTAGAGACCGAGTGCTTAACCATTTGTCCCACCTGGGCTCCTTAGGTATATAAATATTTTAATGTCATTATACCTTCTTAAGATTCTCCCTGAAGCACCGCTGTCTCTTGTGTAAATGACACTCACCTCACATGTGTTTTCTGGTGGTTATCCTGACCTTCAGTGCCATGCAATTCGTGGATCTCTCCTATCATCGAGGACCAGGTGTCATTTTTCATGAATCGTACTATTATATTTTCAGTGGATAGCTTTCCTCCATCAATAAGGTTTTGAGAGGCTGACCCAATGATTTAAGGTGAGGTTCACAACATGAAACGAAAAGGAGAGAAAATACTCAGAAGGAAAAGGTAGGTGTGAACAACGAAAGCTTCTGACGCATTTTGCTGTTTTCATACTTTGGCAATGTTGAGAAAGCCATTTACTAGGAAATGCTTCCATGAAGATTGAAAGTGATGGTGACATAAATAGGGTGTAATTAGAAGAGCAAAGTAGAAAAGTATTGGACACAATGCACATGGAACATTAGAAGAGGAAATTGGGAAAGTCTCCATGAACCATATGTGTTAGGGCTGATGAAAGTCAGGAAAGGAAGCTCAGGTATCTGTGAAGCACATACTCCTAAACCAAAAAGAGAGTGTTTCTAATTGATTTTTTGAAATCTCATTCCCTCCATGCAAGCCCAGTCTTTCAAACGATTCTTGCCTCCTGGTGCCCCTGACACAGAGGTCCTGCATAAGTGCTATTTGCATTCTCCTCAGGTCTTCTTCTTTCTTCTCTGGGGGAACAAAGGGGTGTAACCAACGTGGTATTCATGGAGAAAGGCATACTATTAGGGAAGACAGGGAGGAGCAATGAACATTTCCCTGACACTGAGCCAATATTTTGGTCCTCAGGGTCTCTGTTGATTGGCAGGTGTGAATTCACTTGTAGCAAAATAATGTCAAATTTGTAATAAAGTAAGACTCTTTGCATGGTCCAAAAACATTCTCTCTGTGCACCAAAGAAACCCTAAGTCAACACTCACATTTACCACATTTAAAGAGCCTTAAGGCTTTTAACCACAATCGAAATGAGAAGTGAGTTTAATGCACAGACCTCTGTATTCATGGGAAACCAAGATATGCAAGTTCCAGAGAGAAAATGACCATACTTGTCTTATTTAACAATGTTTTCCCATTCCTCGGCCCACAGAGTGGAATAACTTTGATGGCAATGACATATCACAAAAAAATTTTAAAAAATCAAACAGTGAAGACCTATGGCTGCTAACCAAAAGGTCGGAGTTTAAATCCACCAGGCATTCCTTGGAAACCCTATGGGGCAGTTCTACTCTATCCTGTAAGTCGCTATGAGTGGGAATCGACTCGACGGTAATGGATTAGGGATTTTTTTTATCCATACCTACTGAGGCCAGGCTTCTGAAGATTTCCATCATCACATCTCTGTAGAGTTGCCTCTGAGAAAGATCCAGCAATGCCCACTCTTCCTGAGTAAAGTCCACAGCCACATCCTCAACAGCCACTGAGTCCTAAAAATTTCCACATATTCTGCTTCAGTAAGGTACCATGTACTCCAATGTGTGTGAAAGGAATGGTGAGGCTGAGAGTCCTGAGGAACTGACATTTCATGAGGATGAGACAAAGGTTTTGTGTTCTATTAAGGTCTACTCTAGGGTTCAGCCATCAGCCTCATCCCATCACTATCTACATTTGCTTTCTCACAGACTGCAGCCTGTCTCAGACTTAACAAAACTTACAACACAATCAACTTCTCTCTCCACAGTATGACTGTGACAAACTGTAGTCTCATTCCTCTCTACCGTTATGTTCTAGAACAGTCAGAACAAATAGCATCAACTGGAAAAATGCTCTACAGTGAAAGCCCTATTTCCACATTCAGATCATCTTTTCCTTGTGAAAAAAAACTCACCTCCTTCACAGGACCCAGCAGAATATCTAACAAAACATGAAACACAGGTGAAAGCAGGATTAAATGTTAACGACTGGGAAACACGGCAGGACTGGTTAGTTTTTCCTTTTGCCCCTCATGAGCCCGGGGGGGCCCAGTGGCCTGCAGAAAGGGGCAACCCAACCCAAGGCCCTGAGCTTGTCATATTTTCTTAAAGAAATCCAGGTGATCAGGGGCTGACAGGACTATCTGTTGAAATTATTATTTTGAGCAACTGCAAATTTTTACACGTCTCTCACCTACTTCTCAATAAGTCTACAGGAGCACTGTCATGCACTCTATTCCTTCATGGAGACAGACAAGGGTATTGCAAAGGTAAATGGAGATCAGCTGAGAGACAGGAAACAAGAGAATCTAGAAATCATCACAATTTTCAAACTCTGAGACCCAAAGCTACTGTACAGCAATTATGAGTGACTCTCCCTTCAACACACACCCAGACACCCGGACACACAGTAATGTCATAAGATGACAAAGAGCCCAATCTTTGAAGAATCAGAATAGCATGCCCTTGTGTTTGCTGACCATGAGTAAGAGATTAAGATCCACATTTTCTAGTAAGTTCAATGATGTGCAGAGGATTTAGCTGTTACACTACTTGTGCATCCTAGAAAACAGACTTACACACCAACACTGTGGACACCCCACTCCAAGGTTTTCTCACATTTGCAGCCCTTGGAAAGTACACAAGCATGACCACTTGAACTCTGACCACTGGCATCATCTAGGCTGCAGGACTGGCCTCTGTGAGATAGTATCAACCCTTTAGCTGCTCACATGTAGTGAGGATACAAAAGGCAGCTACACTGCACTTCTGATGTTACAATTTTGCTGAACAGCTTACAACTGTAGAACAGATAGCCTACGGGGTGTAGTGAGGTGTCAAGGTCACGCCTAATCAATCCTGGTATGATAGTGTCACAGCAATCTTTCATCCAGTGCCACATTCAAAACACTCTTCCACTGCAGTGCAGCAGGTTACGATTTTAAAGCCATCAAAATCCCTAACTTCCATTCCTACAACATATTCATGATAAAATGTTGCATTCATGGAGCAACCACAATATTTGAAGGGATTTGCAAAAAGCTTGCAGCACACTAGTTCATTATTCCTCATGCCTCTCCTAAGGAAATATTGCTTCAAATGAGTTCTAGCATGGAAAGTTACAATTAATCACTTGCTCAATGTTAACCAAATGGTATGCTGCTGAGCCAGGCTCAGAAAGCAGGCCAATATGCCGAAGCCTAAATTCCTGACAACTACATTTCTGTGCATATGCCTACAGTTTTCTCGTTATTCTGGCTGTTAATCCTCAATTACATGGATGATCTAGAGCCTACAAGATAGTGGAGACAGGAGACAAAGGTAATACCCTATGCAGTTCATACAACCTGGATCTCCTTCTCCTGGCAAAGCCCAGTATCCCAGGCTGAGACTACTTCCCTTCAGGCCCTTTGTAGTAATGGTGCAGCAGAAGCCGTATCTGTCCTCCAATAACTTCACAAGGGGGAATGAGAATCAAGAACACCCCAAGGCTGATTCCTATGAGGCAGAGGTCAGACATGCCTCCTCTCTCCGCCATCTTTACCAATTCTGATACCAACCATCCCTCCCAGAGCATTCTCTACTTTTCTGAGTTTGGTAATTCATTGAAATGGCCACACAGAACTCACAGAAGATACTCATGATTATGGGGTTTATTAGGGAAATAACTGGTTACAATTCAGACTCAGGAAGGCTCAGGAAACAGTTCTTCCATCATGACAGTCTCCTCTCAGCAGTGCCCGCCAGCCTGCCTCTCTCTGGCCCCTTGTCCTCTGCCCTGGTCAGGCAAGCGTTACAAAGCTCTTTTAGTTCTTCCAGTAAGTGCCCTGAGCTACCCGTCTGCCAGAAAGCCTAGGCCTGAAGGCAGTCAGCTCTAGCTTTCTGGGTCAGCAAACCTAAGGTGGCCAGAGGCACCCTACTCTGCCTGGAAGCCTCCTGCCCGGAGGCACTCAGCTATCTCGCTCTGTGGGCTAGCAAGCCCAACATGCAATCTCTTGGTGGTCTCCTGCCAGTCTATTGATTTTGCCTCTGCTGTTGTCATTCGTCTGCTGCTGCTTCTCGCCATCTTACCGTCTTTGGTGTTACTCTTTCTGTCTCCTGAGTCTAGGAGAGTCTCATCACAGGGATCCCAGGTCTAAAGGACACGCTCCACTCCTGCTTCTGCTTCTTTGGTGGTGGTGAGATCCTCTCTTTGTACCTCTGGTATGACTCATTTTAAGCATAGCAGGATGGCAAAGCTGACCAATCCCGTCATTAAGGTTCCATATACCTTATTAGCATGGCCTACCCAATCATCTGGTTCGAGTTACAAAGATTATGGCTAGAAGGGCCATATTAAGTAATTCAGTGCACTGCACCATTACATCTGGCTCTGTCATTTATTAAAACTAGGTAATATTGACAAAGCCTATTTCACACAGGCAAAGCAGATACAGCACTGAACAAACCAGAAATATCCAGATACACATGGATTGTACTTCTTCAGGAGTGGGGAGTAAATAAACGAAATATAATGCCAAGTTCCCTGGGTGGCACATGATAGTAAGCATTTGCTAGTCAAGAGGCTGGTGGTTCAAAGCCACCCAGAGGTTCCTTGGAAGACAGGTCTGGCAATATGCTCTGACAGACCAGAGCCTTGAAAATCCTATGGAGCTCTGCACACATGGGGTCGTCATGAGTCAGAATTAACTCCAAAGCAACTGTTACAGATGAAATTGTGTCTCCAAAAAATGTGTGTCAACTTGGCTAGGCCATGATTCCTAATATTCTGTGGCTGTCCTCCATTTTGTGATCTGATGTAATTACTTGTGTGTTGTAAATTCTAACCCCTAAGATGTTAACGATAGGATTAGAGACAGTTACCTTAATGAAGCAAGATGAAATCTACAGGATTAAGTTGTATCTTCAATCTCTTTTGAGATATAAAAGAAGCGAGCTGGGGGGCGGTGGGGGGACCTCCTGCCACCAAGCAAGAACTAGGAGCGGAGCACCTCCTTTGGACCCAGGGTACCTAGACTGATAAGCCCCTAGACCAGGATAAGACTGATGACAAGGACCTTCCCCCAGAGTCCACAAAGACAGAAAGCCTTCCCCTGGAGCTTGTGCCCTCAATTCAGAACTTCTAGCCTCCAAAACTGTGAAAGAATAAACTTGTTTGTTAAAGCCACCCACTTGTATTTCTGTTATAGCAACACTACATAACAAAGGGAGCAACTAACAATATAATGTCGTGAGGTGGTAAGTTCTATGAAAAATGCAGCACGGTCAGGGAATAAAGACTAAGAGAAGCATACTTATCTTTAGAGAATTAGTGCAGGGAAAAGCAAAATAATCATTTAAGGAAACACAACCTAGTGAAACCTGGCTTGGTAAGGAAACATAAATACATTTTTAATTCTAAAAGGTTGGAAATACTCTGTGATGACTTTGCAAACACTCATATATATTTCACATGCTCATCGACTTCAACAGCTTCCACTGTAGCAGTATAGCAGTGAAAGAGTGCCACTGACCTTCATGGGTTGGAAAGGGAAGATACACTGGTTATTCACAAAATGAAAAGATCATTAGCAAAAGGTAAACTGGGGATCTGGAAGAATAAAAGCAGCATGAATAAACACTATCAAGAAAGTAAAAGAAAACAGACAATAGTAATGATACAAAACACAAATGAAGACTTTCAGGTTTTGGTCTGGTAAGACCTTGGAAGTCATCACTCCCATCTTCAAGAAAAAACCTGAACACATGAAACCAAGGGTTTGAGGTCATAGGAAAAGGACTGCCCCCAAAATTGGAGGCATATATAGGCACATACAGAAAATCATTTCAGAGTAGAAGCCCAGGAGCAGAGTGCCTACGTGTCTCTCCAGTTTTGGGGGCAATCATTTGTCCTGAGACCTCAAAAGCCTAAATGACTGAATTCCCTGAAAACAATAATCAGAGCTAAGACTTCCAAGATGCAAAGGAATTACCGAAGAGACAGATGAGAATAGACTGTTCCAGGAAAAGAAAATGCCAGAGCACAGGCCAGCAGATAGGAGTGTGCCTGGTATGGTTCAGGGAGACCCAAACCACAGCAGGACCAGAGCAGGGTGAGATGTTGGAGAGTAACAGTAGAGGAACTTGGAGTGACTGCAGCCAGTGGGCATATCGTGCTGTGGGAACGTGGTGGCTTCTGAAAAGACTATGGCTTCTCATCTGAGTGAAATGCAGAGCAATTTTACACCTTTGATCAGAGACAGAAAATGATATGACAGCTTTTAAAAATTTAAAGAACCTGTGTGCGGGGGCAAATGTAAAAGCTGGGAGGTATGTTAGAGGGTTCTGGCCATAATCAGATAAGAAATGATGACAATGGGCATATACAAAAATGTACACTAAAGAATATACGTGCTAAAAACGTCAACAATTTTCTAGCAAAAGTAGGTAAAAAACAAGGACATCCATTATGTCATTCCTATTCAATGTTATCCTAGAGGTTGTAGCCAAAAAAGAAAAAGAAAAATGGTAAACAACTATGAATGTTAACAAGAAAAGACACCCTAATCTATATTTTCAGGCTAACTGTATATTTTGAACCACCAACAATGGTACAGATGACTATAGTGCTAAGAATATTCAGATTACAAAATAAATATCAAGGTAAGGAGTATTTTAAATATTTCATTTATACATGCTAGCAACAAGCAGTTGAGATTAATTTTAAAAAGACTCATATATTTTTATTCAGGGTAAAATGTATTAAAAAGGAATATAGTTAATAACAGATCCTAATGAAAAAAATTATAAAACATTATTAAACGACACACAAATAGACTGAAATAAACAAAAAGATAGTGCACACTCTTAGACAACTGTTCTCCACAAACAGATCATTATTTCCAATGCACTTCCATAAAATTCCACCCAATTTTACATTTTTGGACCTCACAAAAATTCTTCAAAAATGAATATGTAATTGTAAATCTCCACAAATACCCAAGACATTCCAAGCCATAAGGCCTGGGCTTGTCCACATATCATACATGTAACTGTACTTACATACATTTATTTTACAAATAGAACTATATTTGAAAGAATGATATCATTATAGGAATACATAATAGACCAACAAAAACAAATAAATAAACCTCCCAGAAAAGGCCCATCAAGATCTATAGAAAGTGGACACAGCAAGCTCTGTAGGGCAGTGGGAGGAAGCACTCACAATTTAATATGTGGGGGAGAATCAACTAACTGGAGTCCCTGGGTTGTGTAAACGATTAAGTGCTCAGATACTAAGAAAAGGCTGGAGGTTTAAGGAAAGGTCTGGTGGTCTACTTCCCATATATTAGCCAATGAAAATCCTATGGAGTGCAGCTCTACTCTGCAACACATGGGGTTGCCATAAGTCAGAATCAAGTAGAAAGAGAACGTTGGGTTTTCATCAAATAATTAACTGGAATAGTCAATTCCTATGTACTCCATATGCAAAAATCAATTCCAGGAAAATCAGCTTTAATTATGAAAATGTAAAATTATAACACTTTCAGAAGTTACAAGCAAGTGATCTTATGACATCAGAACAAAGAAAAAAATCTTAAGAAAATTAAGACATAAGGGAAAAGACTGACAAATTCAACCA